ATGTGAATTTCTGAATAGATCTGGTTCTCTTTCAAGCCATATAGAACTCTGTTGTTGAAAAAAAATATGATGGAGATAAACATGAAACAAATGTGTCTCCTGAGATGATATTCATAGCTTGTGGTGTTTTTTATCTGTAGGTTGAAGAAGAAGTCCCAGTCGGTGGATATCACAGCTCCAGGGTTCAATCCTTTGGCTGGTGCAGGAAAGCAAACACCCCAAACTAGTAAACCCCCTGCACCCAAGACTCCCATCATTGAAGAAGAGCAGAACAATGCAGCAAATACCCAGAAGCATCCTTCCCGAAGGAGTGAACTGAAGAGGTACTACACCATCGGTAAGTTTATGTAGATGTTTTGTGCAAGTGAGCTGATAAAATCTACCTAAATGGGATTGTGGGTCTGTGGATCTGCTTACTTAAGTGACCCCCTTGTTCTCTAATGTATGCATTTTTTATGATGGTTTTTGGACATTTTTTACATAGTCTGAACAGGAAGATGGAAAAACACTGAAAACATTCAGAAAAGTTGGATGAAGAATCCGTTTTAAGGATCTTCCGTATCCTAGCCTAAGGGGAATATATATATTAGGTTGTCCAATTTTTCAGCTTAGGTGCCACTGTTTTCGTTTTAGTCATTTCTTAGCCAACACCATTGTTGTTTCTTGATTTTGTTCTTTTCATTTCCCCCTCGAGGCTCCCACGTCTCTGACCCTGTTCTGTCAGGTTCTTAAGACAGTGGTTGATGCCAGCCCATAATGAACAAAGCCACAACGAAAGTAGAAAGCTATTACATTGTGAAAGAGGAAGAATTACATTGTGGGTCTTTTTGGCTTTGCACATTGCTTAACTTTGGAGTAATTGAATAGAGAAGTCTTCATATGAGAGAGTAGTAGGTTATGAATAGGCTCTTGCTGGCATTGTGTTTCTTTTTTTCCAGATAGAATAATATCCTGAAATTTTGAACTTGTTTTTGAGAGTTGTAATTCATCAGACTCAACAAGTTGAAATAACAACTTTTGTGTATGTGTGTTTGTCTACCAAGTCTTTTGACAAATGCTTTTTAATTATAACAGTTTTCAATATCTTATGTGTATTTGAGATAAAAGGTCTTTAAACATGATGATGTGAAGGGGAGATAAATCCACCAAGGAAGATTGCTGTTTTGTCCTTGCATTTTCTTCATTTTAAAGGAATCTGATCATATTCAAACGTTGTAAAAGTATAGAGTGTGACTTAAAGTGTTGTCCAAAGTTTTATCAAGGAGATCGCCATGTTTTCCTTGGCATCCACTATCCCCACCACCCCAATATGGTACTGTTTGTTTAAAAGCAATTGAAATTTTTCTCAGGTATTGTAGTTTATCGATCTAGAAATGATAGGAGACCATGTTTCTAGTTCTGAATCCGACTTCAATTTTCTGTGTGACTTTGTTATTCTCCAATGTCTTTGGGTTAAGTGGTTTCCATGTGGGGCTGGTGTTATTGCAGGATTTGGCAGCTCCAATCATGCTTTCCTTTTGTTCTATTTTATATGTCCCCTTCCTATAGCCACTCAAGCTTCTTTTCAACTTTTCAAGTCTTATTTTTCAATAGGCAACAAACATGATGTCATGGAAGATGTCCATATTCAGATAATAGGATTGATATAAGACAGTGTAGACAAGTGAATATTTCCCTCTTTTAAACTGTGACTGCATATTTCTAAAAACCAATCACCTAGAAAAGTCCATAAAGTTCATACTGTCTATTTGTCAATGTCTTTACCTCTGAACCTTAACCACATCTCTCACCTTCTATTGCTTTTCTGATTTATTAACTAAGAAGAGATGGTACTTTGCCTTCAGAAAATTGTTTATCCTACAAGCACAATATTCATTATAAATTAGAAAATGGGAAAGAAACACTTACTAAACTAAAGTAGAAAAAACAGAAGTGTTAATTGCTAAAAAAAAAAAAAAGCTGAAACTGAATATTTTAAGTAGCATTACTCCTAGTGAATTTTTAAATTTTTCCATACCAAGGTTTAAACCCAGGGGCACTTAACAACTGAGCCATATCCCTAACCCTTTCCTTTTTTATTTTGACACAGGCCTCACTATGTTGCCAAGGTTGGCTTTGAACTTGTGATCTTGGCTTTGAACCTTCTGTAATTGCAGGTGTGCAACTCTGCCTGAATTTTTAGCAAATGAATTTGCAACAATTTGATTCATGTTCAATGCCAATGCATGTCTACTATGTTAAAAAAGACATTTGAACTTCAAGTTTAGTGTGTCTGTGTAATTCTTCTACTAATTTGCATCTGAAAATATGATTTTCAAGGCTTAATTATTAGAAACCATGTAATTGAAAATTCACTTTGCAAAACAAATCTACCTCATTATCTCTTTCAAAAATATTGGTAATAAACAAAACCAAAAATAACAAAGACCATATATTGGTAATTTCATACACCGAAAACAAGTTAAATTCCTATCTTTTATTTTTTGTGTGTGGGAGGGTAGAGGTTTCTGGTATGAAAATCCTGGGCCTCACATATGCTAGGCAAATGTTCTACCACTGAGCTTTATACTAGTACCTCTGAATTCATCCTACACAATGCTGACAGATAGGTGTTACACTCTGTTTTTTTAGATCAGGGATAGAGCCTTAGAGAGGTTTGAGAAGATCCTATGAGCTATAGATGCTAAACTCAGCAAATAAACTTCGCGTTTTAACCTTTGACACTTCAGAACAAGCTTTCTATGTTACTGAAAAGGATTCCATCCTCTCCATATTGGTATACTGGAGGAATTTCTATGGATAATACAATGCAATAATATGTTATCATAATTTCTAGAGAATCTCATTGAGGGAAATTATGCTAACCAGTCCATCCACCACCCAACAGACCCTTTCATTGAAAGATGTCTTTCAAGATCAATTTAGGGTTCACACTGCTGGAAAAGCCTGGGAGCCCTCTTGTGACCAAGTACAGTACTACACTTAAATTCAGCAATGAATTTCTGTGTTGCTTACTGTATTTAACCTCAAGCAATAGTTTTAGCACTTAAGAGAATTTTCAAATAAGAAAATAAAGAAGTGGAAAAATTTTGAAGTCACTTAAGTATCCCTTGTTTGTTAATGAGTGACGGTGGTAACTTCTCTAGAAATTTCTTTTTGATCTCACAGCTCTTCTTTTCCAGGAACTTATATATAGGATCTACTTCCTTCTAAGAGAACCCTAGGAAATAGAATTTTTAGCCTCCTTGGATACATAATAGGTTCAGATTCTTAATCATTCCTAATAACAGCAATGTATTAAGCCTAATGTAGCATTAAAAATGACACAGCATAAACTCATAACTTTTTAATAAGAACAGGCATAATAAAATTTCCTTGACTTATAAAAAAGAGGGATACATAGACTGATTACTGATGTAAAGTATTAAGAATCTCTATTGAAATTAAAAGGATAGTAATCACTATACCAGGACTGCAGCTTAGGTAAGAGTTTTTCCTGTTCCTCGTCTGTCACTTATGATACCATCTTGCACAAGTTATTTGTGTGTGTGTGTGTGTGTGTGTGTGTGTGTGTGTGTGTGTGCAGTGAAAGAGTTAGACCAAATCAGTATCTTTCTGTTGAAAACGACATTCACTTATTAGCGCAGAGTTCTTTGGTCAGAAGTCTATGTGGCATGGCTGGCTTCTCTGGTCAGGGCCTAACAAGGCTCAAATCAAGATGCTAGCTAGGTTTAGTGCCCATCTGGCATTTCAACTGGGAAAGATATGCTTCCAAGCTCATTCATGTTGCAGAATTAAATTGTTGCAGTCCTAGGACAGACACCTCCCCCATTCCTCTGCTGGATCTCATTTGAGGACCACTTTCAGCTAGCTGCTTGCTCTTTGAGCCAAGTGGCTTCTTCCATCTTCAAGTCAGGAAATTCTGTATCAAACTTTTCTCCCTTGGACCTCTGACTTCCTCTCCTAGGGACAACCAAGAACATTCTCTGTTCTTAAAGGACTTGTGTAATTAGGTCAGGCCCACCCAGATAACTTTTCTACATCAAGATCCACAAAGTCTAAGTACAGGAACAAAACCCATTATGTTCACAGTAATGAGGATTATACAGGTGTTCCCACCAGAGGGGCAGAGAATATTGAGGACCCTCTGAAATGTCCTGCCTAATACAGTTTAACACCACTACCTGGTATACACACATTGGCATACCAATACAGCTCAAACAAATTACTTCACTATCAGGTTTTGATGATTCTTTTTCTTTCTGAATAAGATTCCATTTTTAAATGGGATCTCAACTCCTTAATTTCATAGTCTATTTGTAACTTCTGTCCTGAAATTTGAAAAAAGTCATTGGATTAGATATGAAGCCCTTCAAATGCTTGAAATTCTATTTTAAAAAAGAATTATTGATTAGAACTAAAATAATAAAAAATGACTTAGTGAGCCTGCAGTACTGAGAAAACAGATGAAAAATAAGTAGAATTTTTCATTACCCATTTTTTGTCTGTGCTAGATGAAACTACATAACTTTGACAATGTATATAAAATATATATACTCTTTGAAACCACAGCCCGACTTAAAGATAGGACATGAAACAAAATAATAAACTCAGATGTTTGTTATGCTGTAATATCTGGGTAGTTTATATTACTGCTCTGGATTCAGAAAACTGGATTACTGAATTCAGAAGTAAAGACTTCTAAAAAAAATTGTAAACTAAACTTAGAGCTATGTAGAAAACTGTGCATACAGGATCAAAAAATGAACTATCGCTCCCTAGATGGACGCATATGATTTTATGTAATGTTTGTTTCTTGCTTCAGGGATCAAGAGCAAGAGTTCATACATATCTCCCAGCTTCTGAGACTACTAGTCAAAGCTGCTGGTGTCTTTCCATACCAAGGACTTATGTTAACAGGAAATAGGAAATAGGACAGCTCTTGAAATGGAGGTCCCTGCAATCAGAGTCCATGAGTGAAATGCCAAACACTGATTAGTCCCCATCAGGCCCTGCTGTGCAGAGAGAGAGTAGATGAAGCAGCTAAGAATGGAGAGAAAGGCAGAACCCAGCCCTGCTTTCAAGGTGGTCATCATGTGGGCTGGTAAAAGGAACACAGTGGTAGGTAGAATACAAGGCAGAATGCCCTAACCTCCAGGAGGAGGGCAAGAGATGAACAAGGGCCAGAGAAGGCAGGGAAGGCTGGCTCACAGGGCGGTGAAATTCACAGATGGAGGAACTTCATCCGATTGTGGACTCCTCATAGGCTGCACTGAACAAGACTCCCTCTGCACACTCTTTGCCTTCTTGCCAGTGGGTTCCTTTGGCATCCATACT